CTGAAAATGTCATTGATCTTAGAAAATATTTGACCAGTTCTCATAAACAAAGAAAACACTGGGGACAATGTCATTGAATTTTACCAATTTTAACCAGATGTAATGTTACCCTCATCTTTTTCCCCAGCACTTCTAACAACACTAAATTCCTTATTTCATGTTCTACACCAGTGGTCTCCAATCTTTTTAAGCAGAAGATCACCTTTGGTATTTAAAAGCAACCCACGATCTACCATGTGCCACCCCCCCACCCCTCCCCTCCCTCCCCACCCAGCAGGTAAGTCTGTGTGGAGGGAAGGGGGTACAGATCAAGGCAGAGGGAGAAAAATGATTTGGGGGTGTGCCTCCCCAGCAGGTAAGTCCTACCCAGCCAAGGTCCTACTCCACTCACCCCTGCTCCTGCCTCTGTGGCACTGTCCCTCACCGCGGGGGCCTTGATACAGCCCCCGCCCCTTTCCTCCCCCACGGACTGACTTGCTGGGCTGGGGCACGTGCATGCATTCATGCGGGCACTCAGCCCTCCACTCCAGCCTTGGATCGACTCCAAAAGGCTCCAAGATCCACCACAAGAGGCTCCAAGATCTACCAGTGGATCGAGATCCACTGGTTGGTGACCCCTGTTGGTGACCACTCCACAAGGCAGCATTTGTATCTTTCTGTGCGTCTCTTAAGACCTATTCAACTCTAGACCACCGCAAAATGAAGTAGAATTTCAACCACTGAAGTTCAGGAAACTATTACATGGCTCACTTGAAAATGAATCATCACAATTTTGGATTGAAGATGGGGCTAACTATCTGCAAGTTGAAACCTAGAGAAAAAATAATGGAGAGATAGCTGTATAATCTTGCTAATCCAGTACTTTCTCACATAGGTATTTGTAATGATCCCCTCTAATGAATTAATTGGAGATCACTTGTCCTAGCCCTAGATTATTTTAAATCACTTAGACCCTTTCCTTTACCCAGGCTGATACCCTGGAGTATTTTATAAATTCCAAGAAATATCTAGGCTAAAGACATCATGTTAAACAAGGAAACAGGCTAAATCATATCAGTATGGAGATGAAATTGGCAATGGGTGGGGCTCCAAGTCTGGCTGCATACCCTGAGCTTGATTCGCCAAGAGTGACAAGAGACCTGAGTGTATATCCTTGCCCTTAGGTACAAATGGGTACAGTGGCACCCGGGGTGGGGCATAAGATATAAGGTCCACAGTGATCCCCAGATGCTCAGCTAGATGGACAGATGGATTTCCATAAAGGTCCACCTAGTGGAAGCTGCTTAAGATATGCCAAGCCTATACATCCTCAGTAGCCTTGACTGTGCTTCATCCTAGGCTGCTACGGATAACTTTTGTAGGGTCAGTAGCCAGTGCTGGGCTTCCCTGTAGAGATGCAGCAATGAGGTTCCTTACACAACCAACTCCTGGACTTGGTAGACATGGCCACAAGCAGCCAGGGCCTGGAGAGATTAGATTGGCTAACAAAAGGTCCCATAAGCCAAGGATGAAGACAGCCCCAAGTCTGGATCCAGGGCAAGGAAGCACCTTCACGGAAGGGTTCTGGGGATGGAGCAGTATTTAGAGCACCCAGACGCAACGAATGATTTCCCCTCTCCCTCTTGCTATGGGATCCTAATAAAAGCAGAAGAAAATATTCCCTGAATACTGCAAGCCCTGAAGTGAAGGAGGATGGTCTCACTACAGCATGCGTGGGCATACCTGAGCTAGCTTTATTTTAGTTGGCACAGGGAACAACAGCAGTAAAGATGCTGTGGCATGGGCTAGTCAAGCCCACAAGGGACCCTAATTATTTATTCAGGCTGGCAGCCCTTGCTGAAGCCTGTGCTGCTGTGTCTTCCTCACTGCAATCGTTATCCAAATAATCTCTATTAAATGTAGCTATTCCGTGTTACATGTACTGAAATTTTACCTCTGGCTATAACCTAAGACAGTGTTTCTCAACCCATGGGTTATGACCCAAAAGTGGGTCACAAGAACATATGAAAGAGTTGCAAACAAACTTAAAAAATGGATCAACAAACTGTAAAAATGAATTTTCCCTTAAAGGAGAAAGAAGTGGGAAACTGGCTTTTCTCTTGCATGCTGTCAGAGTTCCAGCCTGCAAAAGGCTGCTTGGTGCACCCCTTTCCCTATCCCCCCCACGCGGGGGGGATTCAGCTGGGGGTGGGGGGCACTGGGTCAGGACTGGCCATCAATGTTTACAAATGGGTCCTGGTAAAAAAAAAAAAAAAGTGTTGAGAACCACTGGCTTAAGAGATCCGTCAGCTGGCTGGGTTACTCTGCCCATAGTCAGCATGCAGGTCACATAGTGCCAGAGCTGTGTTCCCAAACAGGTGCAGGCTTCTGAGGGCTGTTCTGTAGTAAAGCCAAGGGCAGCCCCCTGAAGAAGCATGCCCAGGATTTTTGCACAAAACGTATTTGGTGTGTGACAGAATTTCAACTAATTACACTTCCATGTAGGACATTGCTCCAATATCCTTGCACACAGCTCCTGTCATGATCAATGGATACAAGTTAGGAATTGTTCACATACGTCTTTTCTGGGGAAAAGGTATGCTTGTCTTTTTAGGTTTCTAACTAGCATAGAACAGTGGAAGGTGTAGCTTTCTTATAAGAATTATCCTTTGTTAAGCACTGACAGGGTACTAAGCACTGTGTAAGACACAGAAAGGGGGAAATAACAAAAGGGTTTTTATATGTATATTTATCTGATCTGGGTTGTTTAGCATAATTCCTTGGTCTTATTTGCATTTCACTACCTCCATCACAGATCTCCACCTGTAGATTCTGTCCTGACTTTTGTGACATCCCCTTTCCATATATCTGTTTACCAAGACATTAATAATGTCATTCAGCCTAAGGGCAGTTTTGTAAGAACAGGTTTTACAGACCTAAAACCAGGAAAGAGATTTCCATAATTATTTTTATAATATGAATGGAAAATATTTTTGAACATGCAAACTTCCTTTACTGTTTAAAATCCCTAAACTGGCAGTATTAAGACACGGCAAGTGGAAGGGAATGAAACTGAAAGTGAACCCTGAAAGTGGGGACCTTGTGACCATCTATAAACTCACTAGGGGGGACCAGAAGGGTTTGGGAGAGACCTTGTTTCCCCTAGCACCCCCGGGATAACAAGGAATAATGGCCACAAGTTGTTGGAGAGTAGGTTTAGATTAGACATCCGTTGGAACTACTTCACAGTTAGGGCGGCTAGGATCTGGAACCAACTTCCAAGGGAAGTGGTGCTGGCTCCTACCCTGGGGGTCTTTAAGAAGCGGCTTGATGCCTACCTGGCTGAGGTCACTTGAGCCCAGTTTCCCTCCTGCCCAGCCAGGGGGCCGGACTTGAAGATCTACAAGGTCCCTTCCGACCCTACTTCTATGATTCTATGAAGCCTGTGTTCCAGACAAATGATGATTACTCCATAGCCTTGGTGAAGCACAGCCTTGGTGAATTTCACCCTTGGTGGCTTACAGACCCCTCCCCTGGGCATCAAAGCAAGACACAATTAGTCTTCTCCCAAGGCCAAATGCTGCTACTAATGATCTCAGAGAGGACAAATCTTTCTCTTCTGAGAATCTGGAACATAAAAGTTCCTCTCTACCTAGTATTTTGATTAACATTAAAATGGACTCACAAACAAGTCACCCATGTGGATTTCTAGGAAATGGAGCTACTCCAGTAGGGAAAATGTAGGGGTGAAATACCATGTAAAATTATATATTTGAAGAAATTTGAGTGTAACGCACACACACACACACACACACACACACACACACACGTTTGAGGATTGCAGTCTCTTAACTCCTCCTCTGATTAGGTATTGAAAGATGCTTCCTTTTTGTGTCCATACATCAATTGTAATAATAGTTTAATATAGCCAGAGTATCTATAAATCCTCTTTTATCCCCAACAATGTCAGCAGAAATTTCAATCTGGCTATTCAAATCAGTGATTACTCAACAGTATTACACTCAGACACCTTCAAACATCAAGAGGGGGGAAACTGTTTTAACATTATTGGCCAACAAAATTACTTTGTACCCATTCCTTACAAGAGAACCAGCACCCTTACCCCCTTATACAGCATCAACAGCATTTTAGAAGCAAAGCCAAGCATCTGAAGCAGCACAAAGGCCATGCAGCCCTCTCTCAGTCAGAATGTCAACGCCTTATATTCAGTCCCTAAAAGACTAAAGAGCCTTCCATAAGGACACAGAGCTCTTCCTAACGCAGGCAGAAGTCATATCGGCTTCAGGCCCATGTCAACCCCCAATATACACTGAGAAGAGTCTCCTGCTACAGCAAGAAACCTAAAGGACAAAAATTCCGACTCGGAATCTCCTAATCTCAAATCAGCATTGTACTGCCATAAGAACCCTTTGCACCGGCATGGAGTAATCATCAGGCTCTTCATTGGCCCACTAGCATTAATCCCTATCTGTGGAGGCACATGGCAAGAACAGTGCATGTTTGATGAAACAGAAGTCACAGGGTGCATCATCCCAGGACAAAAAACCTGGGTAACCTGAATGAGGAAGACACAAATCCACACATGAAGTCCAAGCTGACAGGGAGCAAAAGCATACATATTCACAAAATTACAAACTAACATATGCAAACCCAGCTATGGTCAGAAATTATATGTTGTATCTGTTCTGATCATCTGCTTGAAGTTAAGAGTGATTTCCACCTGCTAAAGAATAGAGGTTTTAGAAAAATTGGGCTTATAAGACTTGCTCAGGAAGTGTATGTCAGAGAGGAAGAGAAGCTAGGTTTTACACCTTCTGTTTCTGTATTTAAACTAAAAACACTTATACCCCCAAGTTGCAGACACTACAGATGTCAACCAAGAGGCAACACAATGTTGTACATTCTAGAATGATACACGGTGATATTGAACTAAAACACTGAAATCTTGAGTTGATGTTCCACTTCCTTTAATACTCATGTATTGTGTGTGTGGTACTCACCCAGCCCATTTGCACAGTCACAGAAATCAATACAATGCACAGTTCGATCCATTCCATATGGTCCCATTAGTGTCCTGGAAGAGAAACCAGATACAGTTTATGGAGGCCATGACTAATGACACAAGACAACAAATAAACACGCACATACAGAAACTCACAGTCCCTACACATAACTTTACTATAGCCATGCAAACATGCATAGCGTGAAAGACACAAATCCACACATGAAGTCCAAGCTGACAGACAGCAAAAGCATACATATTCACAAAATTACAAACTAACATATGCAAACCCAGCTATGGTCACCAACACCCCACAGTCACAGCTGATATGGAGAAACAGTTTGTATTCAGTTCCTCAAGTATTTATGTAGAACAGTGGTTCTCAACCTATTTGCCATAGTGGGCCACACTTGCAGCTCTCAATGTGTTATGTGGGCTGTACCCACACAGCTTACTTCCTGAGTATCCATTTAAAAAATGTTTTAATAGGCTGAGAACCACTGATGTAGAATAACTCCATTCAGATTAGGAGAATTACTTAACATATAAACCTGTGCAGAAATGAGATGAAACTGGGCAAATATCCTGAAAGGGTTTACTGTAAAAAAACCCTCCAATCTTGCAAACAAAGGAGTTTGGATGTGATTTCAAACATACCACAGCCCAAGCTGTATCAATACCCAGGTGTTAAAACATATCCCAAGTCAATAACAAGGATGAGCAATGTTCACATACCTACGTTCATTTTTTTTGATAACCTGGTGGTTCAAGCACTGTCCTGTGAGGTGAGAGACTCAAAGTACCTGCTCTGCCTGACTTAGAGCAGAGGGTTTTGTGGGGGTTTTAATCCCTGATCACTTCAAAAAAGACAGAGTAACACACCTTAAACTTCTGTCTCCTACACGCCAGGCTGCCATCATAATCATCAAGCTAAAGCACATCTATCACTCAAAAAACCCTTGACAAACAATTCATAGTAACTGATTCCACTGAAAATTCAGCAAAAAATTTCTGACCAGGTTTTGTCTAAATCAGGAATTCCAGATCCCCAAAGCCTGGGATCCCCAGTCACCCAAACAAATAAGTGATCCATGATATTAATAAACTTGCATGAACAAGATAACTTCAAAACAGTTTGGAAAGGTCAAGAGGTTGTGTATCTTCCAACTCTGATCTCCTCCCATTAGCACAAAGATTCAGCAGTTCTGACCATTTTGCAGCACAGGCATGATGGACATACCATCTTCCACCCTGCAACAATCAACAATACTTCATCAGTGTAGTGTAGCATAGTAGAATATAAAACAGCATGGTATAGTAAAGCACAGTACCTATGGTGAAGGCAAAAATAAGCTCCCTGAGTGAGGCAGCCCTGTAACACAGGCTCCTATCATAAAGGTTCTTTGAAAAATATAATAGGAACCAAGACTGATTTCAGTGGAAACAGAATTAGACCAATGTTGAGGACTTCTGAGTGGGACCTTGATGGAGGACTGGTGGCTACATCAAGCCACTGAATTGCACCTGACTTCTGTATCGGGCGCTATCCCCCCCTGCAACATTTTTCTTAATTTTGGCTACTGACGCTCTATTTAGAATCAGCCCTAGCAGTTTAAAGCACAGACCTTTCTCCTCATGGTCCTCTAGGAACATTCTCACGGTAAACTGTTTACATGAGAATGGTGGACTTTAAACTAACAAGCCAGAAGCATCCACGTGTTCGAGATGGCAGCCAAGTACTGAAATCCTCTCTAGTTCAACCTCCCCCATAAATTCTCTAGTTCCTAGAGGTTACCTGACAGGACAAAGGAGTACCTCTTCATTCAACAGCAGAACTGAAATACGAGCTTGGGCTCAGCAAAGGCACAGAAATGGATATATAAGAAGATTTATTAAACTAATGTAAGCTGAACAGGTAATGAGAGGCATAAGCCTACAGATGCTTCTTTTCCTGCATTTAAATCCTTGCCAAGCATCTTGAAGCAATTTGAAAATAGTCCTTCAAGACAGATATATCCAAGCCTTATTTCCTGACTGGGAACTAAGATTGAATTAAAGAATCCTTATCCCACACATTTATTAGTATCATCCTTAATACGTATGTAATATTGCACATGTTCAAGGCACTAGATAAATATCGATGGCTACATTCTAAACTATAAAAGGGCACAGCTCCTTTGTTTTCAGCCAAGCTACTCTAGTTTATACTAACAAATCAAGTGAATTAAAGTTACTCCGCAGAATCCTTCAGAATTATATGGATAAATGTCGGAGGAAAGAGTACCATTAATCATGGGACTCTTTCTCTTAATTCAAACCAAAATGGAACATCGCTATGGAGGCTTCATAAAATAGGTAAGTAGGTGATTACACATAAATTTGCTTCCAGATTAGACATAAATTTGGATCTGCAAACAATGGAATACATTAATAAAACCCCAAACAAACTGTGCTAAGACCAGAAGTAATAAACTTTCAGATTTCAGACAACTCAAGGACCCAGTGAGGGACTAAAAAAGACGTGGTGGAAGCAAATGGACCTCAGCATTGACAAACTCATGCTTAATGTGTAAGAACTCAGAAAAGTATGATTATCCATTAATCATTGTCCCACCTTGGGAATCAAGGAAGAGGAAGAGAGACTCTTGTAGGAGCGCAGTGACTCAAGTACAATAACACGCTAGTTCACATGCCTTTGCTGCTGAGGTTTTTTATGTTCTTTCCTATTTTAAAATGGTTTTCCCTTTCATCCTTACTGTCCCCTTGCTTTGTAGGTGACTCCAAACTAAGATCACAACCATTCAGTATCCCCTAACCTTTGCTCCTTAGTCTAGGATAGAGAGAAGGAATAAACATCACAGAAAATAACCAAGGGGCAGGGGAGAGCTTTAAGATTGGATGAGGCAAATCTTCTGCCTTATCCTAACAGAGACACTCCCATTGGTTTTCTCATTCTGCATCATTGTCTAAGTTGTGAAATAGGCACACCATCCCTTTCCTACTAAATCACTTCCCTACAGAAGACAAAGAAATCTGCTCTGCGTTTTTTACAGTTGAGCAGTTCTAGTGCCCAGCAACAGCAGCAAATAGTTGATCCCACATTAAATACCTATGACATAGTCAGGAATTCAGTATTCTCGCTCCCCAAAGTTCCCCTCTGTTCATCTCCTTACCCTCCTCCAAAAGGCCACTCACATTCAGTCAGTTTATCTGCTTGGAGGCATTACCTGCTAATAATGATGGCTCCTTTGTAAAGGACTGCGATTGCTGGCATCTCGATCTTAGAGTTGTGCGATTTCAGCCCAGCCCTGACGGATTCTAGTCAATCTGCTTTGGCAGGAGTCCGATAAAGCAATGGAAAAGGGGCAGTCACATGATCTTCTTTTATGCTTGTTAATTCCACCCAACATTAACACAGATCAACTAAAAACATCTCTAACTTTAGATTAAAGCTTATGCAAGACAGGCAAAGCTAACATGGCCTATCAGAAGAGGCTTCCTGTACAAGCAGGGAAAAGAGCTATATATATATATTCATCCTCTCGTCTCCCGCCCCACAGAGCAGCACTGCTCATCCATAATTAGAACAGCAGAGCAATTATTTTGATGCATTCAACTGTTCAACTTTTGCAATCTCCTCTTATGAACCAATGCATGACAGGCAGCATTCAAGCCAGGACATGTGCTGCCAATGTCTCTAAACAGTCGAAATCTGTACCAAAGCTTTTCAAATAATAACATGCTGTATCACTTACAATTTTCCTCTTTAATATCTTGTTTGGTCCACAGCTTTGCTCAGTGAATGAAAAGCAAATCAAATTTGGTGGTGCTACTAGCTGCTAAGAGCTTATAGAAATAATTTGCCCTTAAATAACTATTCATCCAGTGATCTCAAAGCATTTCCCAAAGGATTTGAAAATCTCTGTTTTACAAATGAAGACACTGAAGCACTGAGTGAGGAGGTTATGTGCTTTATCCAAGTCCACATAATGAGTCAATGGCAGAACCTGAAATAGTTGGTCTGATATCAACTGCTTTCCTCTATCCATCAGCTAAACCACACTCAAGATCCAATAGGGCTCAGAGGATTTCACATTAAAATGGAAAATGGTTCTCAAGAGGAGCAGGACTGAGTTCTTGGTGAGCTCTGCCTTGTGTGAGTGCCAACTCCTAGAGGGACACGTGTATCTTGTTGGGACCATGATAGGCTTATTCACCACGTACCTTCCTCTGGTTCTGGTTCTCCTGAACTCTGCTCTAATAGCTCAGAAACATCAAGCTGAAGGGCCAAAACCTGTCTGGTTATAACTGCATAAAAATAGAATTGTGGCTTAATTTGGCCCCAACTCCAACTGTTGCAAAATTAGCCAAGTTCTTCTTGGGTCACTGACTATCCAAGCTGAAAAACATGGATGGAAAGTCCAGAAATGGAGTCCTCCTACAGTCACTGTATGGCCTTGGGCAAATCCCTTCACCTCTCTTCCTCTCCCTCACCTCATACCCTTGGCTTGGCTTGTCTTTTTAGACTGTAAACTCTTAGAAGCAGAGATTGTAGGTACAGTGCCCAGCACAACAGGCATCAGAAGTCAGCTGGGGCTTCTAGGCACCACAATAATGCAAATAATAAGCAATAAATAATGAACAATCCCTAGTGAGAACTGGGGTTTGTGGGGAAGGAAGGAGGGAAAAGCTCTGGTTTCTCAGTACTCTAGCCTGATGTTTGCCTATCTTTAATGGAAAGCTAAAGCTAAACATACTATTCCTAACAACGTATTTATTCACTTAACATAGCTCCTTTTTAATGCTCACAGACCACCCGTGTGCAAGTTTCAGGGCAGATATGTTTAAATAGTTTATACCTGCTAAGGAACCAACTACGATTTCTGAAAATTTGTTTACGACTGGAAATAATTATTCACCAAGCACTTTATACCTACTACAGCAAGGAGTCCCTCAGGGTTTTCCCCCCTCACACTTACATCTTAGAGCATACTCTAGTCAATATTAATTCTCTGTGCTCTGTGATTGGCCAGTGAAGTCACATGATGTTGTTACAACTTGACAGGATGATT